AAAATACTAAAATTGAATTGGTCATAAAATCAATTAACGAAAGTGTGATTATTTTTCAACATTTTATTGTATTGAACAGTCGAAATATTTTTTTTATTAAACTGTCAAACACCAAGCGGTCACCGGTGACCGCAACCTATTGTTCTATAATTGTGTCTATAATGACGGTACTCGACGAGTTAAGGATAAGTCCGTTTAAATATATAAATAAACGACTTTTGAAAAAAGAAGGTCCTTATTTTTTGCCTATACATAGAACTCAGCCTCTTATGGCAAGTTTCTGCTACAGATACATATGAAAACTAGAAAAATTAAGTTATTTTTCTGTTTTTACAAATGTTTTATTTTTTCACAGCTCAGTGAAGTAGGTCGTATCCTCAGAAATATATGCAGCATAGTTCCCGGAGGAGTTGTATGCTTCCTGCCTTCGTACTCTTACGAACAAACTGTATATGAACATTTAAAAACGAATAAAGTCGTTGAAGCCATCACTAAGAAAAAACTCATATTCCGGGAGCCAAAATCAGCTACCGATGTTGATCAGGTAAGGTTGTCGGAATTTGTATCTTATAAAATTGGAATTAAGATTCATTCTTGATATCTTATGTGATTGGTATAGAGTGCATTTTTGTGTGTGATTGTTATAATTTGATTATACATTTATGTTATGTGTAGTTATTCGATTTCGAACTTTATCAGTATAAGTTGAGAGTTCATTGGTATTTGACAAAACATTTTTTAAGAATTATTATTTTATTTATAGGTTTTAAATAAATTTGCATCAGCTGTTAAGAATAGGGATGGAGATCATAATGGAGCTTTATTGTTGAGTGTCGTTGGTGGCAAACTCAGTGAAGGATTAAACTTTAGGTAAGTTCCTTATTTAAATTGATCTCTAATGCAATGGAATTAGGGTTGATTATAGAATAAATTCACGAGAATAGAGTAAGGTGAAAAATGAAAAATGCTTCGGCACGAATGGGCAGGCTCGTCTGAAGTGATACCACGGCCTCGCAGAAAACCGACGTGAAACAACGCTTGCGTTTTCTTTCGTCGTGTGAGTGAGGACGTTACCGGTGGCCCAATTACCTTTCTCATCTTCCTTAATGTTCCCAATCACTGAATCTCCAACAATCCACAAATTCCTAATCCCCAAAAAGTCGATAACGCACTTGTAACGCCTCTGGTGTTCCAGATGTCCATGGGCAAAGCCGAGTGTGCGTTACCCAGGCCAGATGCTGTCGAAAATGGTCATCGTTTTTAGATTATTTCACAAAAACATTTCCTGCTGGGGTAACGTTACCCCAGCCAGACCATTTTCTTTGTAATGGGAATATTTAAATAATTACTAGCTATAAAATTAGTTATCTAGATTAAGTAAATGATGTGCCTTATTTTGTATCTGTTCTTTCATTGGTTGCGAAGTTATTCGAGATTCTGCTGGGGAGCTGGGGTAACGTTTTTGGTTTTGCTAGATCTTTGAAATGGTTAGGCGGATTCTTATCATATTTTGTACATGGCTTCTTAGGAATTAGTATAAATTTGTTCAGCAATAAAAAAACCAAAATAATACCTACATAGCTTAAAGGTTATTTCATTAAATAGAAAAATACTTCAATTGGTCCCAGCACTCTCAATAAGAGCTCTAAAGACTTACTTTAAACGTTATGTATTTTAAAGCTTGTTATTGCCTTCAAATGTATGTGAAGTTTCATTAGTACCCTGTAAATATTGACCATGTTATGATGATATTGAGTTCTTCACGAGCACGGTCTTGATGCGCGCGGTGTTATTTGGCCACTGGATTGGATATGAACTGGATGTTATGGCAATAATTAGTTGTTTAGTTCAGTTGTATATCAGTAAAATTTCAGCTCAGTACATTAGATAATTTATGAGATAATACGATTAAAGTCATTAGGAAGTGAATGACCGTGGTAACCCGACCAAGTTTAGGAGATCACGAAAAAGCGAAAACGCAGAACATTATGGTACCTTCTAAAATATGTAGGATAGTATTACAAATTTAGTACGTGAAATAATAAAAAAAAAACTATAAGCGCAACAAATTTAAAAATGTGCGCAACAATTACAGAAGCTGCAAAACTAATTATCTATAAGATTCAAATGACTATTTTCGACAAGATCTGGCTTGGGTAACGCACACCAAAGCCGATTCCTTACCATCAGGTGATCCGTCTGCTCATTTACCACCGGCTTATTCCATAAATAAAGGATTTCACTTCAATTGGCAATATTATTTCATGTACATACAATGTATAATCTGTAAATTTTTCAGTGATGATCTCGGGCGATGTGTAATAGTAGTCGGGATGCCATATCCGAATGTAAAATCACCAGAGTTGCAGGAGAAGATGAACTATTTGAATAAAACGGCAGGCGGAAGCGCAGGGAATATTTATTATGAGAATCTTTGTATGAAAGCCGTGAACCAATGTATTGGTGAGTAAAAATATAATATTTGTACCTAATTTTACTCATATTAGACATATTATGATAACTGAGAACTAAGTTGTGCATAACCTTTTTAACCGACTTTAAAATAGGAGGAGGAGGTTCTCAGTTTGCCTTGTCTTGTCTGTATGTTTGTGCGTGATTATCTCGCGTTTGACTTCACCGATTTTGATGCGGTTTTCAGAAGTGTTTGTTACACCTAAAAGGTTTTAGTATTATATTAATTAAATGACTTCAAAAATAGAAGGGGTTCTCGGTCGGAAGTCGGTTTTTTTAAACATAGTTTATAATATAATTATTTGTTATCACGACGCTCGATGCATCGCACATCTGTTGTCGCGCGTACTACTCACGAGGGGTCCCTCGTGTAGCTCGAAACTAATCGAGTAATCATCAAATAGTACCTAAAGTACCTATATCACCTACCTACTTATTTAATTTTGTCCAATTACAGTTATTGGTTTTTTTTCAACCGTTATGACTGAATTTAAATAAATTTAATAAGTAAGAATATCTAATGACAAGTATTGGACAAGAGCCGTAATAAATCATTTAGGATGTAAATTATATGTTTACAGGTCGAGCCGTGAGGCACGCCAATGACTACTCTTGCGTGCTATTGGTGGATGAACGATACTCAAGGCCTCAAACTATGTCTGCTTTACCTTCATTTGTACAGGTACAATAATTTGCTTATTCATGTACAGTAGATAAACGTAACAGATGTACAGACCATTTTTTGGACTGTACATTTAAAATAGTTGAAATTTTAAAGTACCTACTGCTAATGAGTTTGCTAATCACTCGTTTGCCACATGTCAGATAAGCGATGGGCAAAACTTACTATTGAGTGGAGCCCACTTAACGTCATTAGACGTCGCGGCAGGCCCAAAGGGAGATTGCCCTGCAGTGGGACGATCATGGCTGAAAATAAAATAAAATAAATAAATAAAAAATGAGTTTTTGAAAGGCCAAACACTACACAGAAGAGATGAAAAGAGCCTATTGCTTTTTAAAAGGCCGGCAACGCCCCTGTTACTCCTCTGGTGTTGCGGTGGGCGGCGCTGATCGCTTACCATCAATTGATCCGTCTGCTCGTTGGCCTCCTATTCCATAAAAAAATCGGAAAATGTTACCTACCTAAGTATCTATCCGATTTTTAAAGCTCATAACGTCACGCCTTTTGATCACCATAGAGGTAGGCACCGGCATACATTATGATGCACTTTTCATTACAAAAACGGTATTTTCATACGTACATTTCTATTGTTATTGGTTTTTTTTTTATTTTGATCAGTTATACTTTATAGGGCCTTGACTATAAAATCATTGCATTTATCCGTATCATGTATTTTCAATTTTGTTACAGAAATCACTGATATCGAATTGCAATTTTGGTACAACGATTAGTAATATAGCAAGGTTTTTTGCAAGGCATAAAGAGAAATGAAAATGAATATGAAAATCATTACACAAAGAACAGGTACATGAGAGCACTGGTGGTGGTGGTATGGTACGCAATGGTACCACTATGAACTAGGAATTATGCATTATCTTTATTTATTTATTGTATTGCATGCATGTAATTACACTACAACAAAATTCTGAAGTTATGAGATTTTTGAAATCTGTGTATTATGTGATAAAGAACAAGTTTTAAATAAATACTCAAAATGAAAGCTTTGTTTTATTTTCAATCCAACAATTTGATACAGATGCGTCTGTTACGCACTAAAATTGGGTACTTGCCAACTAGTCAAATTTAAAACTTAATACGAACTGTCAAAAACGACGTATTGTGACGTCATGTTTTTTTAGCGTCAAACACCATACTTATTTTTTTTAAATGCTGGAAAAATACTAAAATGAAGTTGGTCATAAAATCAATTAATGAAAGTGTGATTATTTTTTAATATTTTATTGTATTGAACAATTGAAATAATTTATTTTTGATTAAGGCAAGTAGCCAATTGTGACTCTTGGCGCTCTGATTGGCCGGCTCCAATGAACCAACCAATAAAAAACGCCGAACGCGGTCTCATTTAGATAACTTTAAACGCAAAAAAAAATTCGTACTAAGCCCTCTGACTCTGCTCTGATTTTATTTTTGACTTATACCTACACAACACAGCATTTCGTTACATTATATCGTTAGAGTATTGAACAATGATACTATGTATCTAAGTTTATAGTGTCCGTTACCCAGGTCAGATGTTGTCGAAAATGGTCATTTTAATCTTATAGAGGTAGATAATATAATTAGTTTTGCGGCTTTTGTAATTATTGCGCACATTTTTTAAATTTGTTGCGCTTATTAGTTATTATTTCACAAAAACATTTCCTGCTGGGGTAACGTTACCCCAGCCAGACCTTTTTCTTTGTAATTGGAATATTTAAATAAATACTAGCTATAAAACTAGTTATCTAGATGAAGTAAACGTTGTGCCGTATTTTGTATTTGTTCTTTCATCGGTTGCGAAGAAACTCGAATAGATTATGCTGGGGTAACGTTTTTGGTTTTGCTAGATCTTTGAAATGGTTCAGCGGATTCAACATCTGGCCTGGGTAACGCACACTAGTTTATACTTTATTATATACTTTTATCTTAAATCCACAAACATACTATACAATTATGTACATATCTACAAGACTACAAGTAATACAAAATTATTATAGGTGCAGTTTATCAGGTGATTTATCAGACTGCAGCTTAAGCCAAGATTGTATGAAGGCACTATCTTTCGAATTATTGATTTGTTTACGTTGACCACATGACTTTGTGGTGATAATAAAAAATCCCCACACTTCATTTCGTCTTTTATGACATTAACAAATTATAGATAGTCAAACTTAGTTAAGACTCGATTTATTTCGATTGAGCTATGCTCTTTGTACTATACAAAGTTATTCCTATTGCTTAGCAACATATACTTAGGTTAGGTACAGTGGCCAGCAGCTCAATCTGCCCTTACTGGCAAACATTTTCATTAGACTTTCAACTTTATGGTTTTGATATAAAGTCAAAAATCCAATGAAACAGTTTCGAGTAGGTTGACATGCTGATGACTAAGGGTAATAAGTATGTACAGTTTTTTTTATTCTGCCAAAGCTTGTGGCAGCGTAGTGCCGCAAGGTCCTTGGAAGTAGAAGTGGAATTCCGAGGTTGCAGGAGTGGGTTCCAAGTTAAACTCGGCTACAATAGCTCCTCGAGCAGCTGCTTCTGGTGCAAACATGGCCGCTGGATACACTACTGACGATGTACCCACTACTAAACATACATCACAAGTTGACATTGCTGTTTCTGTGAAGAAAAAAATATTATTTTTATTCCTTTGACTTTTAATAAAAAAAAATCAAGTATAAAGTAATCCATTGGGATTCATAAATCCTTAGTAAATTGTAGCATTATGTAACATTAAATGAGGTCCAACTTACTGGCTTTCTCCAACACAGCAGGATTTAAATTTTCTCCAAACCATACTATGTGTGGTCTCAGTAGACCACCACATTCAGCTTTCTGGCAGTGTGGTAGAGAGCTGATTGGGATATCTGAACCTCTTACATTTAAATCTGGAGCTCCTCTGCCTGCTAAAGCCTGGAAATTATAATGAAGGCTTGAAGATAAGTTAATTTGCAATATTTTAATTGCATAGGAGCACTTAACTTTTAGAAATAGTGAAGATTTGCCCAGGCAATACTAGTTCAGCACTATCCGAAATTGAAGAAACAAACATTTAACATTTAATTTACAAAACATAACTACTATGCTGTAATACTTTGAAGGTACAGTTAAGTAGGTACTTAAAAGGTATATCTACAATATTTTTACTCTAATTCTTTAAGTAAATCTTAGCAATATCTACAACTTACTTCACAAATTGGACTATCATTGTTGGCCAAGACCTCTTTACATTTAGTACACCTTGTCTTGAACAGATTTCCATGGAGTTCAATTAAGTCATTAGTTCCAGCTCTAGCATGTAACCCATCAACATTTTGTGTGATCACTGTTATTTTTTTATCTGCCCCATGCCTGGCTTCATATTCAGCAATGGCTAAATGACCCTGAAAGCGAAATAAAGCTGGTAATTAAATAGTAAAATTAAAAAAACAAATATGTTATAGTATTGTATATTTTGTATATTTCTCTTCAAGAAGGCATTACATGGATTTTACTCATTAGTCCATTAATATAGGTTGAAGACACACTACTTACAGCATTTGGTTGTGCCTTAGCTGCTACTTCTCTCCTATAATGATAGAATTCCCAAACTAAGCTGGGATTACTCCGAAATGCTCCAGGAGTAGCAAGAGACGCCGCTTCGTATGTTCTCCACAGTCCACCAGCGCCGCGAAATGTTGGTATTCCAGATTCTGCACTAATACCGGCTCCCGATAAGACAACAATCTCTTTAGCCGATCTTAAAGCTTCCCTGAACTTTGGCATATCACTAGACTGTCGCGATGCCATGATTTTAGGAAAACTACAAATCACTACCGTACTACGTATAGTTCTTAATAAACTAATGGACATATTGAATTACTGTACAAAGTTCAAATATAAATTATTTAAATAAATTCATTATAAAACTCGTATTAAAATTGAAAACACGGCGAAGTGCAGTGAGTGGTAGTCTGACAATTGACAGATGTCAAATATTCCTGACTTTGACTTATCTGCTTGCGATAACATTCAGAAATTGATAATAATTTATTTATCAAAGTTATTTAATACTTTTTGGAATATTTTCTTATCTTGTCGTCGTACATCTTAATGCTCAACCAGTTCTTACCAGATAGGTATGTGACCAAACCGGTAATTTCTGAAATGATGTACATACCTATGTCCTATGTTTTCTGCCCACTTTACACCCATGACAAAAAAGCATTCTCAAGACATGTTGTATGCTAGTTTTCGACTCATGTAATAAAAAATAATCTACGATTATATGACAAAAGACTTCAATAATAAAAAGCAATTAGATAACAATATCATGTCTCTTCCAGGATCAGGCCCTGTCCAGTTAAAACAATGCAATCTAAACAATAACATTTTAATAAATACACTTTACACTCAAAATTTCATTAATACGCACACACATTTATTTACATTTAAAATTCTAATACAGTTTAAAAACAACTTGGTTTAAACGTCCAGAGCCTCAGGTAGTGTAACACTACAGGGGCCAACAAAGGAATAATGGTAGTTCGAGTTTGTATCCATTTCGTTATTAAATTCTGCGATTATTGCTCCATTATTCATTGCATCAGGGGCATATTGCGCTGCTGGAAATAATAGTGAGGGCGACCCAACTACTAGGCACAAATCACAAGCTGAAATTACTGCTTCTGAAAAAAAAAAATGGTTGCCTGTAAAGTCGTTTTTACGGGCGAAGATTTTACGTGACAACGTCTTTTTCTCGGTAGAATATTTATTGATATGAATATAATTAAATTGCACAATAGGAACAAGGAATTGAATGAACTAGTGCTGCGCGCGCGGCAGACCGATCATAGTTGAGTGGGAGAGAGACGCAAGGCATTCGGCGGGCCTCTCTCTCGTTCGGTGACTCATCGTAACGTTACCGAGCGTTACACTTTTTCATAAGTGACTCCCAGCCGCAACCTAATTTAAGACGTTGTCACGTCAAAAACAACAATATGAGTGAAGTGTTTACATTTCTAACTCAATATGTCCTCATTGTGACATTCAGTTAGCCAAATGTTTCAGTATTAAATGAGAGCTAATGTTTTTATTTTGTTTACCAGATGAGAATAGACTCAACTCACCAGAGATGGCAATAATGTAGCATGGGGTTCATATGTTCGATAGAACACAACGATTTTTACAACTGTAGTGATAACTACAGTTGTAAAAAATTTAATACCCATAGGTTTAATGTTTTGCAAGCTTAGTTTCTCTTAAAAGAGAAACAAATCCCAAGCTACATTAGTTGACTTGCATTGAGATGGTACTATAGTACAATAGATTTTTCAAATCTATATTTACCTGCTTTTTGAATCACAGAAGGGTCTATGCTATCTCCATACCAGACAATGTCTGGTCTAAGCAGGCCAGTGCAACTGGGCTTACTGCAGTGTGGTAGTAGTTTCTCAGGAATGTCTGAATTTGTATCGGTGCTATCTGGAGATCCTTTGTTTGCTAAAGCCTGGAAAAATAAATCAAACAGTTTGTTTTATATTTTTCTACTAAGTTTGCAATGTATCATTTAATTTTAAAGACTTTTCTGATTTGTACTTTTATTCTTTTTAAAATTATTTGAATTGAAATAAATAAATAAATAGTCTAGATACGATGTTGAAATAAATAATGCACGTAAATATTGTTTTTGAATTGATATATTATCTGAACAGTTAGGGTAAGTTTGTCTGGTTGTGTCCGCCCTACTAAAGTTTGCTTATGTAACATGGACACGAAGTGGTGGTTGGACGTGAACAGGCGAACTTACCATAAAATCTGGGTGGATTAAAATGTCTCGGAATTAAGTTTTTATATACTTACTTCACAAATAGGGTGGTCATTATTAGGCACAACGTCATTGCACTTGATGCACCTTGTCTTGAACAAACTGCCATGCAGTTCAATCAGGTTCTTTGTGTTAGCTCTAGAGTGGAGGCCATCTATACTCTGTGTAATCACAGTTATCGACTTATCCTTACCATGTTTTTCTTCAAACAACGCTATCGCTTTGTGAGCCTGGAAAATGAAACATGAGACTATTTTAAAAGTAAAGAGAGAATTTTCAAGTTTTTGCGTTTTGTGCACTTTTTTATATTTGAAGAGCTCCGGCTTCGCACGGGTGCAATATGAATGTATTATACATATAAACCGCATCAAAAGCAAATATAGTGACAGACAGACGGTGGATAGCGACTTTGTTTTATACTTTATTGATTTGATTTGAAAGGCCAACATATGACCAATATCTCGCTTGGTGGTAAGCAATGATGCGGTCGACTTGCTTACCTCATTAGGCTGTGCTTTTACCGCCATTTCTCGTCTGTAATGATAGAATTCCCAAACTAAACTAGGGAATGTCAGAAATGCCCCTGATGTTGCTAGTATGGAAGTCTGATACTTCCTCCAAAAACTAGTTTTGCCGTAAATAGGAACACCAGATTCTGTGCTTATATCGTCACCAGTGACTATAGCAACATTTTTTGCAGACTTTAAAGATTCTTTGAATAATGCCATATAACTATTATGCCGGGTAGCCATCATTCTAGGCACACTAGAAGCTACTAAAGTACTACGAACTAATACACATAGAGGAGTGATTATAAAGGGCATTATATTAATAAGGTTGTTCGTCAAATTCAATTTATAATAGCCAAAATCCGATATTTAAACCTCATAACCTGAAATTTTGAGTTTTTTGAAAATAAAATGTAACTAAACGTCAAAGTCAAATGTCAGTTGACATTTAACGTTTCGTTTATAAACTTTAGGACTTAAAACATTTAATTATTTCCTGTTTATAGTAAATAAAAAATAATACCTCATGTAGTAATAGCGTAAAAGGTTTGCTCTTGTTACTTTCAAGAGCGTTTTAAATACAGATCTATTTTTGAATAATTTCCAGTCAATATAATATTATAACTTGTTTTGATAGGGAAAGTTTTTAAATTACCTCCCGCCAATTCATAATACGGCTAAAGCGAGAGTCAGATACTGACAAAAAACAGTGGTTTAGTTGCACGGAGTGCCGTGCGAACTCTTGCTTTAAGCTGGAGTCCCGGTGATCCGCGAGGTTGTTTGCAGACCCGAGAGGTTGTTCGCAGCCCTTCAGTTACAGTAGGTAATCATTGTCACATAATTATCTACATAGTCATATTATAGAAGTAAAATATTGTTATGGGATTTGTTCTCAGGACATAGTACAATGGGTGCATCATAACTATAAAAAAATAACTAACGGTTGCGAGTTAATGTAGGTCAGTAGTTAGCAGGTACCTACCCAATTAGGTATGTACCTACCTATACATAATACGTAATTAGGTATGCATAGTAACCTTCGTACTGTTACGAGAGTCCTTTAGGATTTCTTTTTAAAAAAAACTAATTTTATATTAAAACTATTTTAATTAGTTAAAGGACTGAGTATACAACCGTACCGTTCGGAGATCTTGTCCAGACTGAGGGGTCTGGCATGCCACCTTACACGCTAAGATATAATAATGATGATGATGCAGTTTTATGTCATCCCAGCATAAACCCTTACATATCAGGGATATAACAGTACGCATTTCGAATTTTAGGTACAAACTCTCTTGTAGGTTCAGTGGCTGGAAGGACCTACGATTGCTGATTAAAAAGTTCCAGATATACAAAGCCACATAGGTAGGTACTATAGGTATTATAGATTATAATATTTGTGGTAGATAATTAGGTACACATTACACTCTGACCCCAAACAACGGTTTATGGATTTTTTAATGGAATAGGAGGCGATACCAGTAACACCAGAGGAGTTACAGGTGCTTTGCAGGATCACACAAATTAATGTTCTGCGCGAGAATCAAACACGCGACATGCCGGGGGGTGTGTTTATTGCTACAACCCTTGTTGGAGTGAGTGAAAAGCTGATAAAATTCAATAATGTTTGCCCAACTCGGAAATCGAACGCGAGACCCCATATCGTCAGTCGTAGGTACATATTATTATAATTACTCAATTAACATAACAAGGCAGTGAATTTTAATGTATTTCACTAGTTATAAATAAATCAGTGAGTACCTATAATTATTTGAAATTACTTGTTACCTATGCGTCAAACCAAATTAAGTAGTTACTCGATAGTCACGGCTTAATCAGTAACGATAATTAAACTCTTCCGCCTTCCCTATAATTAACATTCCATTATTTTTCGCCCGATTACGATTTGATACCGACTAACGCGACTGTACCTCCGTTCTAAGTCCTTACGTACACTCGAAAAGAAAATGATATCGCTCTCAAGTTGAGCCTTAAAAAAACTGTCTCCGCGCACCTACATCATAAGAACTTTACTAAAAAGGGGAGATATTGAGACGCGACGAGATTCTTGAATACTCGTATAATACTCTCGAGAGCACGCCATGTAGATATTACTGTGTTAGATATTTGCTTTCTGCCTTCCTGCCTCAGTTGCCTCAGTTTCTTGCATTACTCAGACGCGCGCACTCGTGTCGCTCAGACCGATAACACGATCGCGAACCGCGACGAAAACCCCGGACTAATTTTCCCGGAGTTTCCCCCAACACTAACGCAATTTTAAATTTGGAACAGTGAATTTTGTGAATTAAATTTTTAATTACATTTAAAGTTAAAATAAAATTTAACAATGATTAAATAAATATAGGTCGTAAGCACATATAACCAAGGTAGTGAGATATTTTGGTACCCGGGCGACATGCCAAACAGTTTGATTATAATTCTGTGACGATCGCCATGTGATTAGTAAACATTGATATACATACGTAAAGCTAAATAAAAAGTGTCATCTAAATAAAATAAATTAATTATTTACCTACATAAACAAATAAATAAAGAATGCATAAACTTAACTCATAATGCAACATTAACCTACTAATTGAATTTAGAACAGTGATTAAAAAAATATGTGTTAGTGCAAAGGTAGATAAGTATTTTCTACATAAATATTAAATCGGCAATGACATTGCTATGAATGTGCCAACGATTAAAACGGATTCGGAGGTGGACCTTCAGACGCAGAGTACCTCTCGTCTCCAGCCAAGAAGAAGCACTGGAACTCCTAAAAAGTCTGTAGCCTCAAAGCTATGGGACTTATTGCAGCCCCTAGCGAGATTATGGGGACTTATAACTGCCGTTGGTTAGTATTGCGTAGCTTCAACTTGTTATTGATAATTATGAATTTTTGATTTATGTACATCGTTTACAAGTTATTAAGTACCTACACCAGGAAATATTGTTTTATAATCGACGCTTGAGAAATATGATTTCAAAACAAAAAAGTTTAATAATTAATTAACCTATTTGTATACAAAGTTGTGTGTTTAGGTATAAAAATAATATCGCACACGCATGGATAAAAAAATATATAGGTACCTATAATTAATTAATTCAAATAATGGTTTTATGCTAACGCAATAAAGATACCAGTTTTACTACATACAGTAGGTATCTATTAATCTATATCTGCTTAAATGTAGGTCCAAAGATATTCTTTGTAATATAAAAAAGCCTCAAGCGATTTCCCTCAATTCCCTCCTCATTATCAATAAGTACCAGCCGTTAATGAAAGCGTTTTACCTACCAATAAAACGCATATTAATTTACTTACCTTATTCGAAGCTTATTTAATTGAGATAGGCCTTCCGCTTCCCACCTTCCACTTTTCCTATATGTCTATCTCTTTCTACTACGTCACTTCCATTTGGCAGTGGTGGGGAGGCTTGCTAAGAGAGACTCGCCATTTTTATTTCATTGGCGTCTTGTTTCCCGCCGTAAACGGTTGTGCCTTGTGAGTCACAAGACAACCATTCACAAGTTGTGAAACTACCTTCCGATTTTATTATTATTTCTTTTTTATAAAAGTGATAAATGACCTAACGGCTTTTATTACAATTGTAAAAATTTTAAATTAAATAAAGATTATTCTTTCGTTATCTATTATGGAAAATTCAGATAATAATTGCGATTATTCATGTTGTTCCTGAACACTTCTTCGTATGGGAGTGTCGATCTAAACGTAAGTTTCGAAAACTATCTAAACAGGTACGTAACCTTTAGCAATAGATTGTTTGTACGTGAGTACCATTTTGGACCATGCATTTCTGTCTAATGTTATTGAAAATTTTTACGAATATTATTTTGATGTTGATGACCTGATAAATTGTTTTGAAATTGTATGTCTATCAAAGTGTGTCTTCGGATAAAACTCAAGAGCTGTGCTCCCAACAGAACTGTTGGTTAATTCGGTACAGTCTTGGACTGTATATTGCATACGTGGAATTGCTGACGCGATACCCTATGCTATAGCTATTGCTCAGAAAATCGGGTGGATTTGTACCACTATACGAACAAAGAACGAAGGTTCTGTTCGACTGTTAATAATATTGCACAGTTATTTGTCTGTTGTACCTAATTATCTTGCAAAAGTGAGATGACTATGCAAATATAGAACCGAAGTGCGTTCCTATTATATATTTTGTTGCTTTGATATTAAGTTTGAGTTTAAAGTTAATGGTATACTTGATTGAATATTGTGTGCACTTTAACACGGGATTTTCGGAACCCTTCAAACTGCTAACTGCTACATGTGATATGCTACTTCAAAAGTACCCTTTTTCCACAGGGGATTTTAGTAAGTACCTAGTCTTAAGCTTTATTACAGATTGTTTGCGGACATCGTTCTGAGATTCTCCTAATACTAAGAGCGCATAGAGGTTTACTGCCGCTGTAGAATAAGCTGGTGGCGTGAGAAAATGTTTTTGGCCATTGCAAAAGGTAAATATTACATCTACCTCGCAGGTAGATCCAAAAGTTTCGAGGCCCGTCGCAGGGGCCACAGCCTTACAAAGTCCTCGCAGGATTTTTGCTCAAGGTTTCCAACACATTAATACACATTCGCAATGTGCTAGCAGTATCTCACCTTCGCAAGGTGGTGACAACAGCAATAAACCCGCCTCTGCAAGGTGGTGACAACAGCAATAAACCCGTCGCCGCAAGGTGGTGACAACAGCAATAAACCCGTCGCCGCAAGGTGGTGACAACAGCAATAAACCCACCTCCGCAAGGTGGTGACAACGGCAATAAACCCGCCTCCGCAAGGTGGTGACAACGGCAATAAACCCGCCTCCGCAAGGTGGTGACAACAGCAATAAACCCGCCTCCGCAAGGTGGTTATATCATATTCATGCTGTTTTTATATATTTCGGTCGCACCGAAAAATTGGAATATCTGTCGGAGTTGGTCAAATCCTCGGCAGAATAAAATTAGCCAAGTCAGGAGCGAAGACGTGTATCATCGCCCCGTCATTGATGCTGCAGCATTGACAACAAACGACGTAAGTATTAACAACAGAGCGGACAGTCTCCTGCAATTGGTAGACCGATGGGAACTTGTGAACGTCAGATTATGATAATAAAAAGGTATCGCATACCCTTTTTACAAAAACTGACCCTGGTTCACCCCAATGTTGTCGGAACGAACTTGTTGAACTGGAACATCTGTTCATCAAACATCTGTTCTAGAATCTCTGACACTCTGTTCAGAAATGACATCAGTCATGAACAAAATAACAGAACAGGTAGTTACGGACCGAGCTACTGAGCAGCCAAGCTTCCTACCATTGATATTTCTGGTCCAAGGGCGACCGCATCGTCCATTTGGAAATTCAGAATTTATGTATCATCTGACCGATTCGTTAATGCACATACGTGTTAAAACACATAGTATTTCACATTTTCTACAACCTGATTGTCTATGCAAAATCGACATTTCTCAGGCGTAGAGTTATTTTTCTGTGGCCCGTAGCCACGGAAGGTTTATGTGCCTAAATTATCGCAACGAATTGCTACGAATGACTTGCTTATCATTAGGCATGAGCGCAGCGCCCAATACTTTTGCTACGATTTTCCCAGACACTGGGACAATGAGGTGTCGGGATTTTTTATTGCCATCAGGACGAAGGCCAACTTCGGACTTCGTATGAAAATTGGGCTCCATGTTCTAGAAAAGTTGGTTTGGCTATTTACACAAAAGTCATTAAGCCAGGGATCCATGGTCAAATCACAAACATTTACCCGGTAGTAAAATTTCTGGGGTCATTTTGCCATTTAATGCGGAAGAAATGCAAGTCACGCACAGAACTCCAGAGCCTAGTTATATTTGCTGCTTCTGCAGTTTCAAGACTCTAGTCAAGAAAAAGACTCTACTTTCAAGCGTTTCTGAACCTACAAGAATAAAATCTTAAAGGGCGATCGCAGATGGGTCTTCATTTTACCTCATGTGAACAATCTTGTGTGGGAGGAGCCAGAATTATCATCTTCTGTCGGTCCTACACATGCTACTTCTACCTTCTCATTCCCAGCAGCTTGCACAATGTGTCAGATATTGCTAAGGGAGCTTACCTGGGCAATCTCTTTCTCCTGGGTCTCTGGTCAGAGCACGAGAAAGATCGTCATAGTAGCCAATCCTGAAATAGACTGGTTTGATATAGGACGACATCAAGTCTATCGCATATATCCGTTACGAAAGGGGGGGGGGCCCCAAGTGGCTCCACTTCTGGATTTAAACCTCCGTTTCCCATTATACGTTCATATGCGTTAACATACACGTATTTCATGTACCAGATATATAATGTACAATGTCAAGGCAGATCATCTGTTGAGGTTTGTGAAACTTTAGAGAGCACCAGCTGTCAGCAGAATGCACAAACCAAATGGTCTCCATATGCGAAGTTCCACTGATCAACTTATTTGCGTCATACCGAGTACATGTAGTGACATTTACGTGCCTTTATATCAAAACTACGGACAAGCCCTGTTTGGCGACGCGTTTTTTCCACATATGGAAATGTTTTAAACCCAGCGGGGGAGTTCTCTCCAAGCTTTTTGATTTCTTAGGTCCTGGATTATTTCAATCAAGCACACAGAACGTGCCTACTAGTAGTTCCTTAATGAGGGCGAGTTTTTTGGCGTGTCTCGCTTGCCATAGTACCCCGCTTCTTTACGCTTTATCACCTAGACAAAGTCCTAATTAAGAACAAGGCGGCCACCACCGAGCGTCTACGACATGACCTTGGAAGTGTGGAAACGTGAGATGTCTGGAATACTATTAAAATGATATTCTATACAATTGAAATCTCTTAAGAAATCATGGCGTCCGTCAATACGTTAAATCTATAGTGCAGTCCTCAAAAGGTTGCACCGCACCGGAGGGGGGGGGGACCCTCAGCTCCTATAGCAAGACTTTTGACTACATTTTTATCTATATCGGATCTCTATTGAATCAATAATTTGTCGTACAATTAAAATTTGTCACAAAAATCTGTGGTTGCTGTCCTTTGTTAACCAGAACCATATGTCGTTTAGCATGTATTGTTAAAAACTATACAATCAGTAACATTAATTTAACTTATGAACTAACACATCAGTTAGGTACTTATATTTGAGATTAACTGACTGTGTAAAACATGTTGTAAATGGTGATTGATCATGTCAATCCCCCTGTTTGGGTCATAAACGATCTAGCTAGATTCTTAGACAGTAAACTTATTAATAGTCTTTCAAGTGCAGAGACAAACAGCTGTTCCATTTCTCCTATACTCCAGGAAAAGATTCCATGACCTAACTTTCCTCGATATTGATACTAATAATTACCATAATCATAATGACGTAGACGTACTAGTTTTTCGGTCGGCTTTTAGATCAAAAACTGATTCTGTTGATTAAATGGATAATAATAAATTAGCTTTCACGCACGACTTTGCCCGTGTATTTCTACCATGGGAGCATTTAATCGGGATATATCACCGAAGTCGGCCCATACCCAGCCTGTATACCAAATTTCTAAAGCTCAGATCCAGTCCAATGGACTAAGCATACCATAAGAGGCATAACTTAATGGCGTAAGCTGTGATGTTATGTGTCAATTTTGAAAATAATGCAAATTTCTTAAACCGACATAGAAAAATTTAATTGCGGTCAGGATAAAGTTCCTTCTTGGTGGTAACCGATATTAAGATATCAGTAATCCCCCAAGATATCCTGAGGGTTTCAGATCAGCTGTGATCTGAAAAAATTTAGTGGATAGTTATCCTTTTGAGGCGATCCTTTCTAAGATGTGTGTGCCTTTGTATGTCACCTT